CAGCACTCTAACTGTCATCCTGTATATTTAAAAAAAAAAGCTTAACAAAATATTGCATTTGTATATTTCTATATTAGAAATAACAGAGATACAAATATACAAATACAATAATTTGTTAAATTTTCGTTTCGATATCAGGAACAATGTAATAGTTACTTCGAGTCTATAATTATGCACACCACCGTACATCAATGTCATCGAATAATCTAATTAGGTTCAAAACTCTTTCTTTTTATTATTAATATTTAGCAGCTAGCGTAATGCTTGAAAATCGTGAACTATTTTTCTATTTTGCTCCGAGATCGCGATTCACATTATTCTAGGAGAGAATTCTGAAATCCTTACATCCTTTATTTTCTGCAGGGCAGGGACCGAAGACGGCTCCATTATTGATAGTATCGTTAAACAGGAAGCCAGGACCTTGGAGAATACAGCCCCGGAATCCTTCCCCCACGGTGAGAGATCCATTCATGTCGTAGTCAGGCAACGTAAGAATCGCAGCATTGTAGGTCGCGTTAGCTATTACCTGTACATAAAATGTAAAGATTAGTATCGCGTGATGTAATTAAGCTAGACATTAAATCGGGGATCGAAGTACACGGATGGCTCTTGTTTCTCTCTGAAAAAAATTCTTTTAGTATTCATATTTTTCATTTAAGAGAATATTTTTCATTTAAGAGAATATTTTTCATTTAAGAGTATATTTTTCTCATTTAAGAGAATATTCCTACAGTAGAATCTTTAACACTTATCGTGAAGGATCGCCATAAAAATGACCTTATGGAGCCGATATCCTAGCGGTAATATGTATGTTATTTTTAGTTTATTATGCAAAGAAATTGTGCGTAATGATCCGAACCCGCTCTCAAATGGATAAACAATTTGTGAGTGCATATTCGCGAGAGCAACTTGCGCGTGAAACTGTCGAGGAATTGTTATCCGCCTTCGTATAAAATCCCTATCCCTCCCTCCCCTCCTCGGTTATACTCAGTATGACTCAAACTAGTAGCCGATCGAGGCCCAGTTTTAAAAAAGGATCGGTACAATTTGCAAAAGGATGAATTTGGAAAAAAGCTATGATACTTAGACGTTCACCGAGATTTCGTAGGTTCTGATTACCTGCGTGTGGCCAGCGGCGTTCAACGTCAGATTGCCTAATCTAAAAAACAGATTGACATTCTGCCAGGCGTTGTTCAGTAGCCTCGAGTTCAGCTTGGCTTCGTATCGTTGCTGATCGACGATCGCTACGAACAGCAACCCTTCCGGTGTCACCTCGAGACTGATCGAGTCGTCGTTATACTTCTGCGTGAACAGCCTGCCGCCCTCGCATGTTCGAAAGCTGAGACCGCTATGCCTGTGCACCGAGACGAACGAGCTCAGCTTCAAGAAGGACGAGCCATTGAAGTAAGCCTCCCGTGGATGTTCCTCGTAGTTCTTATGTCTGATGTCTTGCGGCGCTTCTTCCGTGATCACTAATAAGCTAGTCAGTACTGAAACAGAATTTTAAAGCAGCTGTAGCACGCTCCGCAACTATATCACTGTTCAGTAATTAATTTAAAATACCACACGTTGCCGGTGGTGCCCATATACGTTTTGATTCACGGCGAGGCGATTCTTTCCAGGATCTGGTACGTTTCTAGGCTTGTAGAGCCCCGTTCATAAGTATATGGACTATATAATATAATATATAATATATATATAAATATATAATAATATAATATAATAATATAATATAATATAATATAATATAATATAATATAATATAATATAATATAATATAATATAATATAACATAATATAATAATTGATAATATAATAATATATATATATATATAATATATAAGTGTATGTGTATCCACTT